ACATATACGTATATGTATATTGTATATGTAAACGTGTGTCTACATATATGTAACTATATACATATATGTACACACATATATGTACACACATTCACACACATATATATACAAACTGATATACAAACTGATATACACACACATAGCCATTAAACACACACCCCCATATACACATATGTATACATATATACACACATATACACATATGTATACATATATATACACATTAAACACCCACACACACACACACACACACACACACACCCCGAGCCAATATAGATAGATAGATAGATAGATAGATAGATAGATTTTTTTTTTACTGGGGTAGCTTGGGCTGTTTCTCTTTGCCAGGTGCAAGCAGTCCGAGCCCTGATACCTACCAGCCTTCTGTGTGCTGATGTCCCATACCTGTGCCTAAACATGCTGGCATATATCCTGTTTATGGGACTCGAGCATACACGCACCTGCGTGAGAGCTGGCTCTGCAGGCTGAGGCAGTATTTCTGTGTTATTATGCCTGTATGATGGTGCATACGCAAGCGGTGCAGTTGATCAGCACAGACCCTTTGCCCAGATTATGGAAATAGACTGAAGAGGTCTTGTATCAGTGAGAGTAAAAGAAATCGATTGGTAAACAGGCTTGTGATTATGATTATCAGTAGTTGAACACAGAGAGAGAGGTATTCATCCCGATAAGCCCCACACAGGGGATCTTAAACCTCGGAGAGAAACCGAGTATACCAAGGAGGAAGAATGCTTTCTTGTTTTGCAGATTGGAATACGTCTGTCGCCCCATTTTGTGATGGACGTGCCCATAGATGAAAACACAATCAGGTATCTAGATAGATACAGGTACAGGCACGCGTCACATCATATCATATGTTCTTGGGTATTCCAATCTAGCTTTCTTCGCTTAAAAAAATATAATTTGTTATTTTATGGAAACTCCAGCCACACTGATGAACTAGAGGAAGTTGCTGTCTTGCAACCCCGAGTCTGACACTGTAGGATTCCTTTGATCTGTAATTTCTTCGAAAACTATTCATAGCTATCTGAAAGACTTGAGGAGATGCAGTGTGGAACATACAGAGAGAGAGAGAGAGAGAGAGAGAGAGAGGCATACCTAACTACCGAGAGAGAGGGATAAAACGTGTTAGAATCTGACATACACACAGGGAAGGGGGGAGGGAGGAAAAAGAGAGAGAGAGGGAGAGAGAGATCCTCCTACCTGGAGCCATAGATTGCAAGATACGTGGTGTTACCTGGGGAAGTCAGGACAAGTAAAAACACATTGAACTTCAGGGCTCTATAAGCAGTTGATCAAGACCAAGGCTTGCTCGTTTCTCCCCAGCCTGCCCATCCTGGGTTTTTGTTTTGCCTTTTTTGAAACATCCCCCCCCCCCCCCCCCCCCCC